GCGAAGTTGATGTTGAAATTCCGATCAGATCTAGTTTTAGAATAGTTAGGGAGAGAGATTATGTTTATGGATCGAGAGAGAAGGAATTCTGGTCGTAATGGGACTCCAGAATACAGCAATGGAAAATTCCGAGATGATAATGGTTATGGATTCTTAGATCGATCGAAAAATTGCCGTGAAAGGAGTCCGACTAGATCGTCTCCTTCGAGGATTCTTCGGATCCCGTCTCCGACTTCGTCTCCTCCACCTTCTAGTTATTCTCCGCCGTTTCATGGTTCTAACTCGCCTGACCGTGGATACATCGAACACCGTGTCTCTAAGTTCGATACTCTCGCCGGCATTGCCATTAAATACGGCGTTGAGGTGAAATTCCATTTCTTACGGTGACCATTCTTCAGATTTTTTCTCGAATTGGCGATGGGATTTTTAGGTTTGATTTTAGCATTGCAGAATATTTGACTTTTGTGTGATTTAATTAGAGATTAAAGGTAGAGAATTAATTGGTAATGGTACTAGTAAAAAGGAATATTAATAGTTGTTTTTTTTGGATTTTGGTACATGATTGAAGATCACATGAAGAAGAAATGCTTTTTTGAGGCTTGGTTTATTACAAATTCTTGTCCTGATTTTGGTTCTTCCCTTGTGTTGTGAAACTTTATATTTCAGGTTGCAGATGTGAAGAAGATGAATGGTCTTGTTACTGATCTTCAAATGTTTGCTTTAAAGTCTCTTCAGATTCCATTACCTGGAAGGCATCCTCCTTCTCCATGTTTGTCTAATGGCTCCTTAAACCATGGGTATAAAAACCTTCTTGATCCTTTATTATTGTACTTTAACCCATTTCTTTGCTAATTACAGCTTTGATCTGCGAGCTAGCTTTAAGTACTAACAATGGATTCTTATTGCTGATAGTTGTAGATGCTCCTTACATTCTGCGTTCTTTCTCAGTTTTTTGAAGCATATTGAGTTTTGTCCTAGAGCACAAAACCTACTTCCTCCAGTCTTGTCTCCTCAATTTTAATCGTAAAGCTGTTTAAGGAATTGAGACAAATAAGTAGAGCCTTGGTTGTGTTGAACTGAAGCTGCATAATCATTATCAAGTAATCCTCTTTTGATGGTGCTAATACATGGAATCTTGTTTGCAGAGAGGGATGTTCATGCCACGAACCGGAATCCCCAACCCATAGCAACAACGAGGTGTTTGACTCGTTCCAGTCTCTGAGATTGAAATCTTCAGAAAAGAAGGTTTCTCCAGCCATGTACTCATTGCAAGGTTATTACGGGTTAAAACCGGCGAACAGAACAGTTTCTGAAGGAGTATGCTTCGAGATGGGAAATTACAAGACAGAGACTTCTCATCGTCACTCAAACAACAACGGTGATAGTCATTATCTCAGACCTTTCCCATCCACAAACACTCCCTTAAATCACCACAGGAAATCAAGAAGCCTGGTCAACGCACTTCTCGAAGAGGTCAAGCAATCACCCGATAACAATACCCCTCAAGAACCAAATACCGATAAGTTTATGAGAAGACGCCAAAAATCTGAAGCCGATTTCTCATCCCGGACTCCAGAACTTCTGTTGAAAGAAGAGAACGGTAGCAGCAATGGCGGGTTTTTATCGATAGCCGGAAAAGGCTTAGCATTGAGATCGAAAGCTTCAAGCAGAACCAATCTATCAGCAGAATCAGAGACCGGCAATTTCAATCCAGTACCAATCAACTTGATGGATGCTCCAGTTTCAGACAGCTTTTGCATTGTAAGAAAATCGTCGAGTGCATCGAGCCTACAAGATCCAGACGGTAACAGCAATAGTAACGGTTCGTTGTCTCTATGGCCAACCTCTAAATGGAGCATAAACCCAGATTTGCTTACACCTGCGGCTATTACAAGCTCAATCTTTGATGGATTACCAAAGCCTTTAACAGGCCGGAAAAACAAAACGGCTCTGGACTAAGAAAACAAAGGTCAGTTTCTTTGTTATTTAACTGTCCAATTCTTTTTGAAACTATACAAAATCAAAAGCAGAAGAAAGCTATTTTAGCTTAATGCGGAGTAAAT